TATCATCATCAACAGCATCATCATCAACCTCATCATCATCATCATCATCATCATCATCATCATCGGGACACTATCATCATCATCTTCATCATCACCATCATCATCTCATTACCATCTCATCATCAGCAACATCATCAGGATCATCAACATCATCATCATCATCATCATTATCATCATCGGGACACCATCATCACCAGCAACATCATCATCATCATCATCAACATCATCACCAGGACACCATCATCATCACCACCATCACCATCATCATCCACATCGTCAACATCATCTTCATTATCATCATCGGGACACCATCATCACCACCATCAGCATCATTATCATCATCATCATCAGCATCATCGACATCATCATCATCATCATCATCACCACCACCACCACTACCATCGTCATCATCGTCATCATCATCATCATCATCATCATCATCATTATCATCGGGACACCGACGGGACACCGGCGGGACACCGCGGGCCACCGGCCCCCGGAAAGGAATCATTTGGTCTGGCCGCGCCTCAGCCCGAGGCGGGACACCGGCGGGACACCGCGGGCCACTGGCCCCCGGAAAGGAATCATTTGGTCCGGCCGCGCCTCAGCCGGAGGAGACTTTCTTCTCGGTCGCCCACGCAGCTTCGCTTCGCCCGCACGCACGGCACGCACGAACACGAAACCGAAACCGATTTCCCGGTAGGAGGGCTCTCCGTTCCATTTCGATCTCACCCCCTCACCTCCGATATATACATATATATACACACCTATATATGCATATCATGGCGAGGGCCATGATACCACCCCACCGCGCACATGCCGCTGGCCATGATTTGCGCCTCCCTCTCTTGGACGCCCCCCTCTTGGCAGACCCCGAACACTCAAGAGTCTCAGCGGACGCTGTTCGTTTCGGCCAGAAGGCCGCCTGCCCAACAGCGGCCGCTGCCAGTGTTGGACAACACTTGCTGTTCCCTTCACCTCGCCATGGGGGAAATGGAAATGGGTCTTGAGGGAAACGGGTCCTGAGGTTACAGGCGGCCCGGATTAGTAGGTCGACCCTGCCAGATCAAGGGGTACCCTCGTTCCCTGTGTCGTGCGACCCATGCCTCCTGCATTTCTGTGGCAACGTGGCCCCCGGAAGGGCCTTGCGTCCTCTCGCTAGGGAGCCCACAAAGGACGTACGCGCCCAGCTATGTACATGAACGCGGCCCCTCGATCCGCGAGACTGGCCGCGTGAGACGAACACTCGGGCAATGCGCACTCTCGACACCGGCGTGGATTCATGTACGTCTACGTCCTTCTGTCGCTCCTGATTCGCGTGTCCTCTCCGGTCGAGTCCGACTGGATTCCCCGTTGTCGGGCTCGCGGGGCCCTGTGCGCAAGCGATGCAGGCTGGAGAGCTCCTCTCTTGGGGGCATGCCGCCCCAGAGTCCGGGGCCCGCTTCCCTCGGGGCCCGTCTTCTTACCAGCCTGGAACATATCCCTATCCCTATGCTGGGCACCTCCTCATCACGATGCCAATCTTAGGGATTCCCTATTTTTTGAGGGCGAATCCCTAAGATTGTCATCGCCTTTTGGCGTGTCAATCTTAGGGATAGGGATACGTTCGAGGCTGGTAATCTTCCCCGTGCTCGTTTCCCTCACTCCGCCGCTCCCTCCACAGCCACAACTTCCGAGTGCTGCTCTCTCCTCGCTCCCCCGACTCTCTCCGGACGCCGCACGGTCGTCTCCGCGCGTCGTGTGTTGTTGTTCACGCTTCGCGTATACCCCCCCACTGGGCCACTCAGAAACGATGCCCAGGAGAGTTGAGGTGATCAGGGAAGTGTAGGATCAAGATAGGGGGCAGCTGTCATTTTCAAGGAGGAGGAGGTGAAGGAGGAGGATGGGAAGGTGTAGGAGGAGGAGAAGGAGGGTGGAGGAGGAGGAGGAGGAGGAGGAGGAGGGTGAAGGAGAGGGAATAGGCAAATGAGAAGGGGGGAGGCGGGCGAGCAGAAGGCCTAAGGCCTTTTAGATGCCTTTCGGAGTCCCTTGGGATGTCTCTTGGGGGCTTCCTGGGAGGCCTCCTGGGGCGTCTTTGGCGGCCGCTTCGGGGGTTCTTCGGGGGCCTTTTGGGTTCTCTCTGGGCTCTCTTGGGAGCCCTGGAGGCTCGCTTGAGGAAAGCTTGGAGGAGGTCGCTCAAAGACGGTGGGAGCTTTAATTTACGCCGCCCATCTGGAGCCCTCGAAGTCGCCTCGTGGAGCTCTCTTGAGGCGTTCTTGGGGCGCTCTTGGTCGCTCTTGGGGCCGTCTTGGGGCCCTCTTGGGCCTCTCTTGGGGCCATCTTGGGCCATCTTGGGTCCATTAACGCCTCGGAAAGCCATCAGAAGCGAATGGACGAAACAGCAGCAAACATTGATTGTTAGGTTTTGGAAGGATTTGGGCTCTTGGTTGCTCTCCTGGGTGTGCTCCGACGCCACTTGGAGCAGTCTTGGGGCGGTCTTGGAGCCTCCTTGATCACGTTGGAGGCTATCTTGAGCTATCTTGAGCCATCTTGGAGGACATCTTAGGCTCTCTGAAGCCCTCTTGGAGCCAGCTTGGACCATCTTGTACGCTCCAATGGGTCGCGGGGCGCCCCGTCAAGGTCCAGGGGTAGGGGCTAGGGGGAGGGGTCAAGCTTCCCACCCGCCCGCAAGCCGTCTTGCTCACTCCCACTCACCCTCCCAACACATGCGTAACACCCAGGAGTCAGCATACAACATCAGAACGCCGCAGACGCCACGGGTTCCAGATGCACCAGACACTGGAGGCCCAAGCGTGCCAGGCGCGCTGAGTGCGGCACGTGCTCCACGTGCGTCCAGCGTTCCGCATGCTCCAGCCGCGCCAGGTGCGCCAGCCACTTGGAACCGTTAGGGGCTGTGGTGCCCAGCTTTAAGCTTTCTTGGGCAATTTTGGAGCCATGTGAAGGTTTCGAAATCCCATCGGAAACGGTAGGGCGAAAAGGCAGCAGCCATTGATGTGTCAAAGCAGTCGGTCGGCCACTTGCGCCCAGAAGGCAGGTGGGATCTGCTGGCACCCCAGCCGTCCCTGTGAGATACCCATATAAAGTGGTCGCGGGGCGGCCGCGCATGCTCCAAATGTGGAGGCAGAGCGCGTTTTTTTGACAGGGATTGTGGGGGGGGCCCTCATGGGGTTGGCATGGTTCCCGGTTTTCCGCCGGCCGGGTGGGGGAGGGGGTGTTCATATGGCACAGTGATAAACCCATCCCCGAAGGGAAAGAGGGGAATATGGAAGAGAATACACGCTAAACCACCTACGCCCAGAGGGCTGGTGGGATTCAAAAGACCTTGTGCTTTTCTCTTGTTACTTTCCGATCGGAACTTCTCTGGTCTCTCACTATGGTGCTCTGGCTGCAGCGTTGGCTCATTTTAGACTCGGCGTTTTTTGTTCCCGTCGTTCAGAGAGGCTCTCGCCCCAGCGCGGGCCTGGATCCGAGTCCTTCCTCGTTGTTGGCCCCCCCCTCCACTCCCCTCCTCCGCCTTCCCCTGGTCCTCCTGCTCCACCCGTTTCTTTCACTCCAGTTCCCGCCGCTGCTGTTCGTCCTCGTCCTCCTGTCTCAAACACTCCCTCCGATTGTGCATAGCATCTTGCGCATTGAGTCACCTTTGCCGATTGTGCATCGCATGATTGGGTCTTCATGGGAGTTCCATACCCGCCGTGACACGAGTCGTCGGATAGATGAACACCTGCGCATTGGGAAGATATTGTTGCAGAGGTAGGATGTGAGATCCGGCGCGAGCGCACCTGGTTTGTCCTCCCCACCTCTGGATGTCAAATATGGCGCAAGCTCACCTGACCGAAGGAAGATAACGGGGTCGACTGCGCCGACAGTGGCGCGTAAGCTTCCCGCGTAAGATCGCGCGCAAGCGCCCTCGTTTCCAATGTAGCGTGCCGCGCTGGCGGCCCGCGTAAGCCGCGGCGTAAGGTCGCTACGTCATCTCTCATGAGACCCGTTGCGTTTCGTCGCTCACCTGTCTTGCCCGCCCCCCCCCTGCCTCTCTCCTTTCCTGCCTCCCCTCCTCGCCCGTTGCCGCTCCCCTACCCCCCCCTTCCTCCATCCTCGCCCCCCCCCTTCGCTGCCGCCGCCGCCCCTCGCTCCTTGTCCTCCTTGCGTCTCGCTCTTGTCATCCTCGTCCTCTTATTTCTGTCGTCGACCTCCTCTTTCTCCCTCCCTCTCCCCTCGTCTTCGCCCTCCATGTGCTCGTCCTCCTCCTCCTCCTCTTCCTCCTTCTCCTCCTCCCCACTTCTCGTCCTCGGCCGCGTCATGGCCGCCCTCTTTCTTCGACCATCCCCCTCCGGTGCGGAAGATGGCGCGCGCACCTGAACAGGCAGGAGGTCGGATGCTCCAACCTTCCACCGGGCCCGGCTTCCGAGGGCAGGAGGGCCCAGGAGCCCCGCCCGACATCCACAGGGTGTTCTGCCCACCTCCACAGGCACGAGCGCTGCACGTGACTCTCCCCTTCTCCCTCCTTCCTTTTTGTCCTCCTGCTCCCTGTTCGCCTGCCCCCTCCTCCTTGTTCGGTCGGTCGGTCGGCCGGATGGCAGAAGGTCGAAGCCTGAACTCCTCGCCCTCCTCTCCTCGTCCTCCTGTCCTCCTCGTTCGCGTCCTCGTCGTCATTCTCACCTCTCCTCCTCCACCCTTTCTCCTCTCACGCCTCCCCCTCCTCCTACCTCCCTTCGTCATCGCCCGCCTCGCCGTCCTCGTCCCCGTCTCCGTCGTTCTCGTCGGCAAATGCGTCTTCGTCAGCGTCGCCCTCCGCCTCGCTGTCCCCCTACTCCCTCCCCTCCCCCTTCCCGCCTTTGCCCCCCTCCTCCTCCCTGCCCTCTCCTCGTCCTCGCCCTCCCCCTCTCGCACGCGCCCCTGGCAGGTCCCGTGGCAGGCCCCCGACGCGTCCGTGGCCCCTTCACGCGCCCGTGGCACGCCCTCGGCAGGCCCCCTCCACCCGCCCACCGCCCACCGTCCGCAGCCCCTCTGGCCCCTCAAGCAGCTGCCGCAGCCTGCGCAGCTCGTTTCGGCTCTGCCGCGCCAGCCCGGCTGCCCGGATACGCCCGTGCTGAAACGCCACACGTGCGGTGCTCAGCACGTCCATTGCTAACACGCTGCGTGCTTCGGCTCGGCGCCTGCAGGCCCGCGCATTGGTCCGACCGCGTCGCGCCAGACCCACGCCTTCAGTCCACGTGCTGAGCTCCGTGTCCGCCTGTTGCGTATCGGGGCAGCCGGGCACGCCAGCGGTGGCTCAAGGCGCAGGGATGGCCGCAGCTCACGGCGCCGCCGCGGCGAGGGCGGGCAAGCGCGGCCGCGGCCGCGGCGCGCCGCTGGCCTGCGGGCTGCTGCTCTGCGCCCTGGCGGCCGCGGCGGTGCTCGCGCCCTCGGCCGCCTGGGCGGCGCCCGCGCCCGGCAGGCGGTCTGCCGCTGCCGCCGGCCTGGTCGCCACCCTCGGGGCCGCCGTCATCGGGGGCAACGTTAGGTCAAGCAGTGGCGAGGCGTCCTGGCTTTGCGAGAGGCCCGCCCACGAATGGTCGGAGAACTTTCTGTGGTTTTGTACGGAATGTTCTTCGAGCATTTCTGGTTGAGACCGTTTTATTTTAGCACATCGGCTTTATGTCCAATAATTTTGTTTTTGTTCTTAGAAGGTTTTATTGTTTAAAAACATGTTGACGATATACTTATAAGAAGTCGGGACCGTCGAGGGCAACGTTGTTCGTCGGTCGTATAAGGTAAGAATGTCCCAACCATCCTGTGGTGTTGGGTCCTCGCTTTGAAGAGAGCGCCCCGCGTTCCTCACTCCTTCCTCATCCCCATCCTCCCTCCCATCGTCGTCATCATCATCAGCATTGCCATCGTCATTGTCATCACCATCATCATCATCATCATCATCGTCATCATCATCATCATCATGATCATCATCACCATCATCATCATTCATCTCATCATCATCAATCATCATCATCATCATCATCATCATCATCATCATCATCATCATTATCATCATCATCATCATCATCATCATCATCATCATCATCATCATCATCATCATCATCATCATCATCATCATCATCATCATCATCATCAAATTCATCATCATCATCAGCATCATCATCATCATGATGATCATCATCATCATAATCATACTCAGCATCATCATCAGCATCACCATCACCATCATCATCGACATATGTATCGGCATCGCCACCTAAGGCCCCAGTGGGGGTGTCCACAGGCGTCCGCCACACACTGTACAGCGTTTCGTGGCCCCATATGGGGGCTCCCCAGAAGGCCCCAGTTGTGGTGTCCGCATGCGTCCGCCGCACTCAGTACAGCGTTTCGTTGCCCCATAGGGAGCTCCACGTAAGGCCCCAGTGGGGGTGCCCGCATGCGTCCGCCACACCCTGTACAGCGTTTCGTGGCCCCGTAGGGAGCTCCACCGAAGGTCCCAGTGGGACCGCCCACACGCGCTCGCCACAACCAGTATAGCGTTTCGCGGCCCCATGGGGGGCTCCACCGAAGGCCCCAGGTGTACCGCCCGCCTGGGTCCGCCACACCCATGTCGCCACACCCTGTACAGCGTTTCGTGGCCCCACGGAGCTCCACCGAAGGTCCCAGTGGGGATGGCCACATGCGTCCGCCACGTCCAGTACAGCGTTTCGTTGCCCCATAGGGAGCTCCACCGAAAGCCCAGTGGGGGTGTCTGCATGCGTCCGCCACACCCAGTACAGCGTTTCGTGGCCCCATAGGGAGCTCCACGTAAGGCCCCAGTGGGGGTTGCCACATGCGTCCGCCACACTCAGTACAGCGTTTCGTGGCCCCATAGACAGCACCACCTACTGTAAGGCCCCAGTGGGGGTGGCCACATGCGTCCGCCACGCCCAGCACAGCGTTCCGTGGCCTTATGGGGAGCTCCACGAAGGCCTCAGTGGGGGTGCCCGCATGCGTCCGTGGACTCATAGGGAGGTCCACCTAAGGCCCCAGTTAGGGTGCTCGCATGCGTCCGCCACACCCAGTACAGCGTTTCGTTCCCCCATAGGGAGCTCCACCGAAGGCCCCAGTGGGGGTGCCCGCATGCTTACGCCACGCGCATGCCGGCACACCTCTCACACGTTTCGTGGCCCCATAGGGAGCTCCACCTAAGGCCCCGGTGGGGGTGGCCACATGCGTCCGCCACACCTTGCACAGCGTTCCGTGGCCCCACAGGGAGCTCCACCGAAAGCCTAGTGGAGGCGGCTTCATGCGTCCGCCACACCCAGTACAGCGTTTCGTGGCTCCATCTGGGAGCTCCACCGAAGGCCCCAGTGGGGGTGGCCACATGCGTCCGCCACACCCTGTACAGCGTTTCGTGGCCCTAGAGGGAGCTCCACGTAAGGCCCCAGTGGGGGTGGCCACATGTGTCCGCCACGCCCAGCACAGCGTTCCGTGGCCTTATAGGGAGCTCCACCTAAGGCCCCAATGGGGGTTGCCACATGCGTCCGCCACACCCTGTACAGCGTTTCGTGGCCCCATATCGGGGCTCCCCAGAAGGCCCCAGTGTCACCGCCCGCATGTGTCCGCCACACCCTGTACAGCGTTTCGTTGCCCCATAGGGAGCTCCACCGAAGGCCCCAGTGGGGGTGCCCGCATGCGTCCGCCACACCCTGTACAGCGTACAGCGTTTCGTGGCCCCATAGGGAGCTCCACCGAAGGTCCCAGTGGGACCGCCCGCACGCGCCCGCCACAACCAGTACAGCGCGTCGCGGCCCCATGGGCGGCTCCACCGAAGGCCCCAGGTGGACCGCCCGCATGCGTTTGCCACACCAAGTACAGCGTTTCGTGGCCTCATATGGGGGCTCCCCAGAAGGCCCCAGTGGCACCGCCCGCATGTATTTTCACAACCCACTACAGCGCGTCGTGGCCCCATAGGGAGCTCCACCGAAGGCCCCAGTGGGGGGGGCCACATGCGTCCCCGCCACCCATTACGGCACGCCCCATCACGCGTTGCGTGGCCCACCGGAAGCAGCACCCACAACGCGTTACTCACAACTAACCTATACGACCACCCTGCGGGTGATAAGGAGGTGAGGGGGGAGGGGGAACCAACGTCTCACTCAATCAATCTCGCTATCGATCTCACATTCGATATCATTATCGATGTCACTATCGATCTCGCTATCGATCTCACTATCGATCTCACAATCGATCTCACAATCGATCTCACATTCGGTCTCACATTCGGTCTCACTGTCGATCTCACAATCGATCTCACAATCGATCTCACAGTCGATCTCACAGTCGATCTCACATTCGGTCTCACATTCGGTCTCACTATCGATCTCACTATCGATCTCACAATCGATCCCACTATCGATCTCACATCATCATCGCCATCATCACCATCATCATCATCATCACCATCATCATCATCATCATCATCATCATCATCATCATCATCATCATCATCATCATCATCATCATCATCATCATCATCATCATCATCATCATCATCATCATCATCATCATCATCATCATCATCATCATCATCCACATCATCATCGGGACACCGACGGGACACCGACGGGACACCAGCGGGACACCGGCGGGACACCGCGCGCCACCGGCCGCCCGGAAGGGAAACATTTGGTCCGGCCGCGCCTCAGCCACAGGGACACCGACGGGACACCAGCGGGACACCGGCGGGACACCGCGCGCCACCGGCCGCCCGGAAGAGACACATTTGGTCCGGCCGCGCCTCAGCCACATGAGACTTTCTCTCGCCCGCCCACGCAGCTTCGCCTCGCCCGCACGCACGGCACGCACGAACACGAAACCGAAATCGATTTCCCGGTAGGGGGGCTCTCCGTTCCACTTCGATCTCACCCCCTCACCTCCGACATATGTTTGGGCCCTTCGCCAGGATAATTCTGGATCCTCTAATTCCAACCTACTTCAGGCGCCTTCCTGCTTCAATCATCGAGTGGCCCCCCCTTTTCCTTTCTCAGCAGGTGTCGGGCGGGAGCCCAATCTGCTTCCAACGCTTTCTAGTTCATGCTTCTACCCACTTCCTTCGACTGACGGGTGGGGGCTTCTGTAGCAAATCATGGGAGCATTGTGCGTCCTCAGGCATTAGCAGGTGCTAGCGTCTGGTAGTCGTGGAGGAAGCGCCAGTTTGGCGTCGACTAGCGTCGATTTAGCGTCGATTTGCGCTGGCTAGCGTCGACCAGCTTCGATTGGCGCCGACTCGCAAGAGCCAACAAGGTGGTCTGGTAGGGCCCCATGAGTTGCCCCAGAAGAGGGGAATATGCATATGAGGTCGTTGCTATCCCCTGGCGATGACGGGCTTGACCAGCGGGGAGGGGTGGAGGGGTCACGTCGCGATTTGCGCCGTCGCCGTCGCCGTCTGGGAGTCCCTTGGAATGGCTCATTCCCAGACGGCACCGGCAGGAACCGTGACGTGATCAGGGCTGGTGGTGAGGTGGGGGGAGGGCGGGGCCGGTCGCCGGTCACGGGTGTTGTCGCGAATTTGCCTCCACCACGGGGAGACGGTGATGGTGATAACACCCGGGCTTCCCAGGGTGGCCGAGGCACCAACATCTAGGATCACCTTCCCCCGGTGGAGGCACCCCCCTGTGTTGGTGTTGGGGCTGCGGTGCCAATTTCCAGATCCCCAGACATACAGGCGCTCCAGTTGTTTCGATGCGTGGGCCCCATGAGGTCTGGACCACTTCCCGCGGGCCGCTTCTTCCTCCTGCCTCGTTGTTGACGTTCCCGAGGCCCGGCCAGAGCCCCCAGAGGCCCAAAATTGCCAAACTCCCGCCGCTCCAATTTTTGTTGGAGCGTCGGCGTTCCGGGCCTCTGCAGGAGAGGTTCGGGGGGGGATCCTCCAAGAAAGCGCTTTCCCTGGCGGTGCTCCGACGCTTGCGAGGCCTGGGATGGCGGTCCTCGGCTGCGGCCCGTCGAGGGGGCGTTCCACAGGCCTGCCCGGGGATCGGCCCACACGTGCTGCCGCCGGAGGCCCGACATGTGGCCCGACGACCACCGGCGGGGCACTCCGCCGCATAGAAGTTACGCATACCGACACAGAGATCCGACGCTCCGGAACAGTTGTGAGCGGCCGGATTTGGCCAGGTTTCGGCCTTCGGGGGCCCTCGCCGGGCCTCGGGAGCGTCCAGAAACGGTTCAGGGCGAAGAAGCGTCCCAGGGGAAGTGGTCCTGACCTCTGAGGCCCACGCATCGACAACAATGGAGCGGCAGGATATCTGGGGCCACCCTCTGGTGCATGGTGTCTGGGCCTCAGGGGCGGGCGGCGGTGTGCAGAGCACCATCGACGGGCCAACGATTTCATACACCGCCGCCCTCCCTGAGGGCACGAGAAACCTCGCCGGCGGGTGGCCTATCGGCGATCTGTCGGCGACGGATCGCCGATTCCAGGTTGATGCTGTCCCGCCTGAGCTTGTTCCCCCCTAACGTTCCCCCTCGCAGCAATCCCAGCCCAGTGGGTGCTGTCAGCACCGAGAACGATCCCGACCTGTCGATCAGCTTGAAGAGGAGCAAACTCACCGAGGAGCAATTGAAGAAACGAGAGGATGAGCGTAGGGCAGAGGCGGAGAGGCAAGACAAGCTGTTGCAGACCTTCAGGGGTTGGTTCAGCAAGCTCGCCAACGAGGAATCCACCACCGAGGTGCGCGTGGAACAGCTGACTCTCATGAAGGACTCCGTGGTGGCGGAGAAGGCCCTCCCAAACGGAATCACCCGCGAAGACATCGTGAAAGGCATCCGCAACATCAAGTACAACATCGGCTGCATCAAGGATAAGCCCAAGAAGGACCCTGACTGCAAGGCCGTCGAGAAGGGCTATATGCAGCTCCTCGCCACCATCGACAAGACGTACGACCGCAACATCATCACTCGCTGAGTGGCCGGAAGCGGTGCGAACCCATCTGAGCTGCTCTTGCGGCAGATTTTCAGCCGTGTTCGAGCGGGTTTCCTCCCTCCTGGCTCAGAGTCCCAAGGGAGGGACGCCCTCAAGCAGGATGGCCCCCTTCTTCCCCCTCCTCCTCCTCCTCCTCCTCCTCCTCCTCCTCCTCCTCCTCCTCCTCCTCCTCCTCTTCCTCCTCCTCCTCCTCCTCCTCCTCCTCCTCCGCGCTCCTCCTCCTCCTCCCCTCCTCCTCCTCCTCCTCCCCCTCCCCTCGCCCTCCTCCTCCTCCTCCTCCTCCCCCTCACCCCCCTCGTCTCCTCCTCCGCCTCCTCTCCGTCTCCTCCTCCTCCTCCTTCTCCTCCTTCCTCCGTCCTCGTCGTCGTCGTCCTCCTCCTCCTCCTTCCTGTCTCCTCCTCCTCCTCCTCCTCCTCCTCCTCCTCCTCCTCCTCCTCCTCCTCCTCCTCCTACCCCCCTATCCCCTCCCCCTCCCCCTCCACCTTCTCCTCCCCCTCACCCCCTTCGTCTCCTCCTCCGCCTCCTCGTCCGTCTCCTTCCTCCCTCCTCCTCCTCCTCCTCTCCTCCTCCTCCTCCCCTCCGTCCTCGTCGTCGTCCTCCTCCTCCTTCCTGTCTCCTCCTCCTCCTCCTCCTCCTCCTCTTCCTCCTCCTCTTAAGCAGTGCGGGCGATGCGGTCTCTCCCGCGCAGCCCGCGCCCGCGCCGCGCCCGACGCGCGGCGCAACGCACGAAGCCCCCCCACCTCACGGACTACTGAGGGCCCTCGCAAAAGCCTGCTGGCTCGTGAATTCGCGTTGGTGTTGTTCGCGCTCTGTTCGATGTGCTTTCTCCCCTTCTCGATGTCATCTCTTGCCTCCATCTGTTCGTCGTGACTTTTTTGAGCGTGTTCCGTGTGTAGCCGTAGGGCTGGTTGATGGAGTTGGTGATCATATTGCGCTTGCGTGTTCGAATGTTTGTTGTGCTGCTGGTGTCCGATGATGGTGTGTATTTCGTTAAGCATGCTCCTGGCTGCGATGCTGTGTTGCTCCTACGCCTTCTCGTTCCTCATCTTCTTGTATATGCTGCCCTCTGTTTCCTCGAGCCTCAACGCTCATATAAACCTCACGCTCAGATTCAAACCGTTCCTCCTGTCTTCGAAGCATCGCCTCCGTGGACCTCAGGGCCTTGGGTGCGAGCTGCTGCTTGAAGTTGCCAATATCCTTCTTGCCGTTCTCGGTGTTCTCAGCGCGAGCTTGTCTGCGTTCTTTCTGTGCAACGGGGTTCGTGGTGGAGGAATGCTAGATGGTGCTTGTGCAGTCCTTGATGAGCTTGGTGCTGGTCAATTCTTCGGTTTAGCTCCGTGATCATCTCGTTGATGTCTTGCTTCTCCTCTCCGCAAGTTGATGCTTGGTGATGCTGTCGTTCCCGTTGTTCGCGCCCTCGCAGTGCAAGGTTGACTGGATGTGGTGTTGGGCTTCGAGCTTCTTTCTTGGCACCACGTTCGCTTTCGATGTCGGTGTCAGTTTCCGCTCCAGCCTTTTTTGTATCAGTATTTTATCCATGATGAGCGCCTTCAGCGCGGTGATGTGCCAAGATTCCTGTGGTTCCTCGTCCTTGAAACAGGGTATCTTCTTGCCGAGCGCCTCCTTGTTCTCCCGTTGCTTCTCAAGCATTGTCCTGCACTTCTTGATCCGCTGGGTCGGTGACTCTGCAGCGTCGGGATTGGTCATCGTCGCGGCTGCCTCCTGTTGAAGCTTCTTGCAGTCAGCGCCCGCCATCTGAGCCTCGTGGTTGTTGTCTGCGAGGCGAGCCAGTCGAGATGATTTCGTCGTCAGCCTGATGTGAATCGTGTCGCCGTGCGTAGGCACTGCACTCCAGCTCTCGTGCTTCATTGCGCCGGCGATGAATGTCAGAACTATCTCTGCCAAAATCCCCAGTTGCTTCGCTGTATACTTGATCTCGCTCTTCTCGTCGTTGGTTCCCTTCGTCGACTGTCGTCCTCTCAGTCCTCTCGAAGCTGACCTCCATCTCGCACTCCACGGTGGCTTCTGCATCTGTTGATGCCACTGCTTGTGGTAGCTGTGGTACTGCTGGTTGCCGTTCAGGTGGTACTGCTTCGAGTCGTACTGCTGGACCTGCTGCGACTTCCATGGTGGCCTTGTCTCAGCTTCTCTGCTCCTCGAACTTGTTCTCCAGGGCCATGGTCTGCCACCTGCGGGGGGGACCCTGCGGCCGCGGACCACCTCGGCCCGAGTGGCTGTCCTCCTTGGCGCAGGCCCCCTACCCTTGTTGGTACCCCCAGCCGCTGTCTTCTGCTCGGTGGCGGTGTCCTGCCGGCAGCCGGTGGCCGAGGTTGTGGGACTGCTGGCTGCGCTGGGGCTGCTGCGCCCAGTGGTGGGCACCCAGTCGGCAGGCCGCAGCAGCGAGGCGCACGGGGAGCTCGCCCTGGCCTCGCACCCGACGGGCGCGACGGTGCCAGGCGGGCTCGCCCTCTCGGGGCGTGGCGGCGACTGCCGCCACTGGCCGCGACGCCAATGGCCCGCTGCGCACGAGCCCAGGCCGACGGGGGCGACCGACGAAGGCGACGGCGGCCCTGCCGCTCCTCAGCCCGTGGTTTCCTCCTCCTCCTCCTCCTCCTCCTCCTCCTCCTCCTCCTCCTCCTCCTCCTCCTCCTCCCCCTCCTCCTCCTCCTCCTCCTCTCCTCCTCCTCCTCCTCCTCCTCCTCCTCCTCCTACTCCCCCTCCTCACCTCCCTCCTCCTCCTCCTCCTCCTCCTCCTCCTCCTCCTCCTCCTCCTCCTCCTCCTTTCTAAGGTTTGATCGACTTGAAGCACGGGCTCGCAGTGTTCTTCCTCCCCCTCCTCCTCCTCCTCCTCCTCCTCCTCCTCCTCCTCCTCCTCCTCCTCCTCTCCTTCTGCTCCGCTTCCTCCTCCGGGCTCTGCCTCCTGGCTCTGGCCCGCGTGCGCGGAGCAGCCACGGGCCGCTCGAGCGCGATCGGCACGGGCCGCAGAGAGAGAGAAAGGGATATGAGTTTGCGCTGCGTCACTGCGCTCGGGGGGGGATTGAGAGGGCCTTGAGCGGGGGGGAGAGGGCCCATGGAACCCCCACCGCGCTCGGGCGGGCGGGGGGGGGCCCTCCCGGGAGAGGGTCCATGGACCCCCTCTTCCCCAAGCCTTGTACTGTCGAGCCTCCGTTTCACAAGCCTCCTCCCGAATAGCTGGGCCGGCGTCTCTTGGCCAACTCGCCCGAGAGCTGGCCCGGTCTCGTGAGCCCTTCCAGCGTGCAGATCAGAGGTTGGCCATGGCCTGCTACTTGGCCGCGAGCATGACCGGATCTTGGGCTCGATGCGTCGGGTGGCCTTCACGATAGGGCGAACGGGCCCGACGCACACCAGCCGCTGCACGCGCGGTGGCGGATCTCTGGCCCCACCGGCCGCGGCCACTGGGCGGGGCGGGCGAGAGGCCACCGGCCCGCTGTTCCCGGGGTCTGATCCGTGGCCGTCCGCGAGCGGGGCTGGTCCGTCTCGTCCAGAGTCTCCTCGCCCTCCTCGTCCTTCGAGGCCCTGCTCCAGAAGGGCCCGTCTCTTCGCGGGGCGTTCCAGGGAGGGTCGCGCCTGGAGCGTCCGCCGCCCTCGGCGGAGGACGGCAGGAGCAGGCAGAAGTGGGACAGCGGCCTCTCCCGCTGGCGGAAGCTCGGCGGAAGTTCGGCGGAAGTTCGGCGGAAGACGGTTGAAGAAAGCATGGTTCCGTTCGGTCTCAAACCATGGGAGCTTGGTCTGCCCCAGAAGCTCAGCTGTTGGAGTGCATCCGCGTCGGTTGGCGTCTGGTAGTCGATGAGGAAGCGTCGATTTAGCGTCGATTTAAGCGTCGATTAGCGTCGACTTGGGTCAATCAGCGTCGGTTGGCGTCGATCGGCGTCGGTTAGCGCCGATTGGCGTCGATTAGCGTCGATCCCCAAGATCCAACAAGACGGTATGAGAGGCTATCATTAGTTGCCACAGAACTCCTGATCCATGGCCGTCCGCGAACTGGGCTGGCTCGTCTGGTCCAAAGCCTCATCGTCCTCCCCGTCCTCGCCCGCCTCTTTCTGCCTCTCAGGGGCAGCGCTTGAAGAGGACAGGCTCAGGGGGGGGATGCATCGGCCCCCCAGTCGCCCACTGATGGCCGAGTAGGGGTCCCGATAGCAGACCCCGCCCAGGGTCATGCGGATTCGTTATCGAAGGCATACCGCCGATCTGTCGGCGATGTGTCGCCGAGTCCAGCTCTGCGCAGGGCCTTTGGAGGAAGCTAGCGCCAGGCCCGCGGAAGCCTGCGGAACCCTGCTGGCCGAAGATCAGCAGAAGCCTTAGCCTTAGGAGACAAACCAGGAGTCCCCAAAGAGAGGTCAACATAAGAATCTTATTGAAACGCTGGAATCGTGATGACGTTGATTTTGGAAAAGGGTGTTGGTCTCCCTCGGACTGGCTGTAGCAGCAGTGCCTTGCACGATCAAGCATTTGTTGCTGGCGCTCGTCACTGGTGTGAGGGGAGCTGGGTTGGTCGGTTGGATGCGGGAGAGTAGCGGGGTTTGCGGAGGGGGGGTTGTTCAGGCGTGGGTGGCGTGGCGGGTGTCTCTGAGGCGCCGTATTCATCTGAGGTGGGGATCGGGGGCGGCCTTCTGGGAAGGCAGGGGTCCTCCAAGATTGCAAGGGTGTCTTTGAGGGTACCGACCCCGCATCAGAGCCTTACCAGACGGCTTAGGCTTTCCAGAAAGCAGGAGGGTCTCTAATCGGCAGTTCGCCTTCTCGGAACTTCCAGGGCCACTCCTCGCCCTCCCCCCCCAGTGCGCGCCGACATGTTCCTTTGCCCTCCCCCCATCCCTCCATCCCCCTTTCTTCCTGCTCGCGTCCACCCTCGCCCTCTTGGCTATAGCCGCTTTGTCCCAAGCACAGGCCAGCGACTGTTTTCGCTAGTCGAACTACTCCGCGCAAGGCAGAGCACTAACCACATTACCTTGAACACGATGCAGTCGACAGCCACTACCCTTTGCGTGGCGGTGTTCGTCCTTGGGGCGTCAGCTCTTCAGCCGGCAGTGCCCACCGATGCCGACTTGCCGGGAGTTGCCATGGCCCTGGAGGCCTGGCCGAAGTGGCCGTTCCATCATGGAGGTAACAAGCCCGACTCTATGGTTGCGGTCCCGAGCAAGCCAGGGTGTTATCTGGAAGGGATTCAGCTCCTGCCGACGGCCCCCTCTCTACGTATCATCATGGGATAGAGTCGCGTCGGTGCGTCTCGGCGCTGCCTTGGCGCATCTGGGAACATCATGCGGGGGCGAAATGAATCATCAACGCATATTGAGACGTGGGCGTTATCCCAGTGGCCTTCGGTCCCACAAGGGGGCCGGCGGACATGCGTATGCCTTCGGGGTGCCCGCAGCACGAGATGAGGACGGACGAGTGGAGGCCCGACCCGTACATCAAGGTCCACGACCAGGCAGAGGAGGAGTGCATGGAGCGCAAGCGCACGTGGAACACCTGGTGCGGGGCGACCGACGCCCAGATGATGTACGTCCCCGCGGCCGGAGACAGGTGGGGCAGCAGCGCGTGAGGGGGCACACCGTCGCCGACCTCGTGCGGCCGGCGCGGCACGTCCGCGCCGAGGTTGAGGTTACCGCAAGCCCGTCGTGCAGTTCCTGCAGTAGGCAAATACATGATTCTCCCTCTCCTCGCTCCTCGCCCTCGCCCTCTCTCTCTCTCTCTTTTGTTGCTTCTCTCTCTCTCTCTATCTCTTTCTCTCATCTCGCTCTCTCTCTCTCTCTGTCTCTCTCGCTCTCCCTCCTGGCTGTCGCCCTCGCCCCCTCCCTCGCCCTCTTCCTCCTCGCGATCGCCCTCGCCCCTCTCGCTCTCTCTTTAGTTGTTTCTCTCGCTCTCCTCTCTCCTACGCCCTCGCCCCACCCTCTATCTCTCTCTCTCTCTCTCTCTCTCTCTCCCTCGCCCTCCCCCCCCCCTCTCTCCCTCACCCTCGCCGCCCCCCCCTCTCTCTCTCCCTCTCTCCCTCTCTCTGTCTTGGGTCCCGCAGGATCGTTGACCCGATCCCCATCCCCACCGGGCCACGGCAGCGCAGCCCCGCCGGGCCACCCCCCACGGGGGGGGCACGCCACGCGGAGCCTGCGGGGAGCGGCGTGCACCCCCGTCCGGGGCGGCAGTCGCAGAAGAGCAAGGTACCCAGACCCCCTCGGGTCATGAAAAAATCACGACGGGAGGTTGTTTTCGCCATTTTCGGCCTCTGGGGGCTCTCGCCGGGCCTCGGGACCGTCAAAAAACGACTCGGGATGAAAAACCGGTCCCGGGGAATGGGTCCGGACCTCTGGGGGTCGCGTCATGAAAAAATCATGACGTCGGGGGTCTGGGTACATGACACCAGAGAGCAAAGCCCCAATCAGTGGATGGTTTTCGCTGAGGAGATCGACCGGGAGCCCTGGAGCCCGGGGACCCGGAGCCCACCGAAATCGGCCCGGAACCGACAGCCTGGAACCCGGGAGCCCGGAACCGGGAGCCCCGGAACCCAGCCTGCCACCAGAATCGGCGGGAAGCTTTCGCCAAATCTTTCAACCTCCGCTAGGACCCCTTCAGTGCAAGCACTGATTGGGGAATAAGCATGCTCCTGTGACGGCCCGCGCGGATTTCTTGGATCTGTGCTGGACCTCCCTCCTTGGCGCGCGGAGCGCGCCAAGGGCGGCGCAGGAGGCGCCGCCAAGGGGGTCCACCGCAGATCCAGGAAATCCGCGGGGGCTGTCGAATGTTTCTGCTTGTGCAGTGGATTCTTCCTCCAGGTGGATCGGCCAGTATGGGGGAAACGTAAGACTCGAGTACGCTAGAACTCGGATTTGCCGATGCTTTTTGACAAGCGCGTCCTGAATTTTGACGGTCCAGTTTTCGTGGGATATTGGCAGCGGGACATCACGTCGAATTTCAGCTTGGACCTCTTTACTTTCGTGATGGCCCCGTCAGGCCAACCCGAGCCCCCGTGAACCCGAGTCTTACGTCTCCCCGGCAGTGGTGCCAAGACCATGCAGGCGGGGACAGGCATAGCCGAAACGCTGCTCACTCTCTCCCCCACTCTCGACCCTGCGGCGCCACCAGGGCGACCAGGAGGGGGAGGAGGAGGGGGAGGGGGAGGAGGAGGAGGATGGGGAGAGTGAGGAAGGAGGAGGAGGGAGGAGGAGGAGGACGGTGATGAATGAGGGGAGGAGGAGGATGAGGGAGGAGGAGGAGGAGCGGAGGAGGAGGAGGAGGAGGAGTAGGAGAGGAGGAGGAGGAGGAGGAGGAGGAGGAGGAGGAGGGGAGGAGGAGGAGGAAGGAGGAGGAGGAAGGGGAGCAAGGAGGCGCCCAGGACCCGGCGGGGGGGGCGGTCTCGGCGGCGAGGCACCGCCCCCCTCTCAGAGCGGGGCCGCCTGCCGCCCGGGCTACAGGCCTTCGACCCCTGGCTCTCCTGCTCATCCTCGTCCTCCTCCTCGTCCTTCTCTGCCACCCTCCACCTCCCTCCTCCTCCCAATCCTCCTCCCAATCCTCCATCCTCCACCCACTCCGCCTCCTCAGCCACTCCTCCTCCTCCTCCTCCTCCTCCTCCTCCTCATCCTCCTCCTCCTCCTCCTCCTCCCCCTCCTCCTCCTCCGCCTCCTCCTCCTCCCCCTTCTCCTCCTCCTCCTCCTCCTCCTCCTCCTTCCTCCTCCTCCTCCCTCCTCCTCCTCCTCATCCCCCTCCTCCTCCTCCTCCTCCTCCTCCTCCTCTTCTCTCCTCCCCTCCTCCTCCTCCTCCTGCGAGGGCCCCCCTGCCTGTGGTCGTGGGCGAACGCACGCATCCGTTCCGCGGCCTCGCGGGCCAGGCCCCCGGGCCGCG